AGCTCATCGCAGTCATGAGGTTTGATGCTGGCAGGCTAGCACATTGTTACACTTCACAGTCTGAATGGCACTACAGTGATATGATGTATCACTTAACACGCATAATTAAAATAAACCTTTTCTATTTGTTCTTGTTCTGTCTCACCCACTGCCCACCCATCCGTCCACCCCTTTTTTCTAGCAGTCAGAGGCCTGGACCCCTGGGAAAAAGTAGAGGCCTTGGATTTTACTCTGGCTGAGTTATTCAACTGCCCCAACCCCCAGCCTCAATCAGCTGGGAAGTTTTAAGACACATTGTTAAGATTTGTTCCTAGGAAGGCTGGCCTATCTGGAAAGATGGGGGATGAATACCAAGTATCTCCAGACTTCCGTTTCTGCTTTATTTCTTTTTTTAAGTTTTGTTTTGCTTTCTCCTAGATTGTGTTTGATATTCATGCTCCAGTGCTGGAACGAGCCACGGCACATACAGCAGAACCTGCTTTTTATTACTGCTTGCCACACGGCATCTTTGTGTGCACAGAATCTGGACCTTGGTTCCCAGGGGCATTTTCCCATCGGCTCGGGGCTGTGAGCTGTACATCTGGCTTATGGCTGTTAGACTGTTAGCTTTTTTGTGTGTTAATCCTCACTCTAGGATATTTTTTCCATTGATTTTTATCTAGGGTGGGAGGAAGGGGATGGCGGGGGTGGGGGGGGGAGAAATATCAATGTGAGAGAGACACATCAATTGGTTGCCTCCCGCATAAGCCCCAACCAGGGCTGGGGATCAACCTGCAACCTAGGTACATGCCCTTGACCAGGAATTGAACCCACGACCCTTCAGTGGGTGGGTTGGGGCTCTAACCACTGAGCACACTGACCAGCGCTAGCCTATTAGCCTTGCAAGTGTAGCCTTGCCAGGTGTAGGATGCTTTTCTAAAATGTTGCATCAGTTGGCTAGAACCCTGAGGGCTGCGAGGTCTCAGTGCTGGATCTTGTTGAGAAACGATCCCAGAGGAGCCTTGCTGTTCATTCTGCTTTCTGACCATCTACTCGTGACGATGTGGTTTATGAAAGTACTCAAAATGGAACCTAGGGAAACATACCAGCGGTCCGTTGGAGGGGTTAAAGGCTTAAGAATGATGATTTGTTTCTGGCATTTGCTGTACAAATGTACAGAAAAGATTTCTGGCTGGTAGATCTCCTGGCCAGTGGGTTTGGGAGCATCCTTAGGGCAAATGTCTTCCTCTCAGCTCCTCATTCTTCTATCACAAGAAAGCTACTCCTTGAATTAACACTTTTGAGAAAGCCTGGTTGGTTGATTGTATTACCTTAACAATTTCAGTTTGAAGGTTTTTTAAAAAATATTTTTAGAGACAGGGAGAGGGAGAGAGAGAAACATCAATGTGAGAGGGAAACATTGATCAGCTGCCTCCTGTACCCCCCTACCGGGGATTGAGCCAGAAATCCAGGCATGTGCTCTGACCAGCAACCTTTTTTGGTGGACGGGACAACGTCCAACCAACTGAGCCACGAGTTCAATTTAAACATAAACACAAAACAAGTAAATGATTTGTTTCTGGGAGGTCTTGGGATTATGGTCCTGTTCCCAGTTACAAGCAGATCTTGTGAGTGCATTGAGGGATTTTTGTTGGTTTATTTGGAAGGGGTAGGTCTTCTTTTTCTTTTTTTGCATCTGGGTGGATTCTTGGTTGGATTTGGGATTTTATAGCTAACTATTACTGAACAGTCCTTGGGCTTCTTACATTTATTTTCGGTTCTGCACCAGTTTTGCATGCTATCAGTTGCGTATTGAACAGAGTTTCAGAATTGGCAATGCAGAGAGGAAAACCAGATGTGTGCGCCCCACAAAGCAGCGCTCTTAGATCCAGGATCCCCTTAGTAGGCTGCTTTGTATCCATACCCCGGGCCATTTTTCTTTTGTCTGAAAATAATTGGCTATGCTTCAGAAATGTACAGAGGAACCCTCTGAATGAAGCTGGGACACAAGCCCATGCCTGCACCCCAGCCCTGAAAGCCTTATGGACGATGCACTGCCCTTTGGGTAGCCCCCTTCTAAGTGCAGCCACAGGATCACGTCCGGAGGTCGTGCCGCTGGCTCTTGGCCTGAGAACTCACTGCGTTCCAGGTAGCTTTTCTACTTTCCGGAGCCTGTTTGGAAAAGGCACCAAACAGCAATGAGCAGGAAGAATGAAGCAGGAGCTGAAAGCTCGTTTTGGGGAAATGAGTGGGAATTCATCCAGGTGAGGTTTGTCCTCAGAAGGTGGGACTGGGGGTGATAGGGAGGGGGCAGGCTGAGGTGCTGGGCTGCCCATCCTCCCCCCAGCGCTGGAGTCAAGGTGTCGGAGCTGGGGCAGCATAGGGCCGCTGCTGAGGCCTTGTCATGCGGGAGGTCCCCCTGGGCAGGTTTTACCTGCAAGGTCTGGGGTACGAGGAAGGGAAAAATGATAACTGAGTGGCTGGAAGGGCTTTTCCTCCAGCAGTATGCATGTTAAGTGTTTAACTCATTTCTGCATCACTTAGCAAAACCAAACCAATGTGGAAACATTTAAAAGGCATAGCATTTTGAATGACTTCCAATGGAGAGCATTTTCCTATTTTTATTTTCACTTACCAGCCAGGCTGGTAACGTGCCTACCTTCGCTATTATAATTCTGCACATTTAGATTCGGGGGTTTCTGACATTGTAATTCTTAAGATGTAATCAGCTAGATCATGTGAAAAGTCACTTTATTGGCAATGCTGACAGGGAAAAAGTCTCTCTCAGGATACCATAAAGTGCCTCCTGTTTGTAGGGGGTAGTGGCTCGTTGCCAAAACCAGAGTACAGGCAGAACCTTCTCGGAAATAAGTTCCATGATTTTATAAGTTTCCTTAAAATATGGTTGTACGATTTGACCTTAAATTCACTTATAGAGGGATCTTTAAAAATATACATCAATTACAAAATTGTGACTACATTAAAATACCTAACAATTTAGAAAACATTGCCTAGGTTTTTATAAGGTTAGTCCCGTATCTCAGAAACCGGTGCTGAGTTAGGGCAGCCATGGCGTCATAGCCTGTACCCCTCTTCCTTTTTCACCCCCGGAAGGGCAGGTGCCGTGTGGTTTTTGAGGATTTCCTATCACGTCTGTTACTCCCATCCTTCCCGTCTGGCCTGTCCTCTGCGCTCTGCTCCACTCACATGTCAGGGGATGTTGTGTTTCCAAGAAAGTCGTCCCTCACATGCCTTTTTATATTCCCGTTTACCAAGGAATCTTCTGAACTGTTCCTACCCCTTCACGTCTTCTCCTGAAAATCACCATTCGAGTCTCCTGAGCTTTCCCTGGAAGGGCCTGGCTCAGGAGTAGCCACGTCAACCCCTAGACAGGCGCCAGGAGAGCCGGCGGGGAAATACCGATGCGTGTGCATGCTCCTTCGTCCTTCACGGCAGTCCCGTCTGACGGGCCCCTGTTTTCTCACCTGTTTCTCATTCTTAGTCTTTCTCATCCCGTCAGCTTCCTTTTCATTTATTTAACAGATATTTATTGAGTGTCAGTTACGGTGCCAGACACCTCCGCCCACCGCCACCCTGTGCCACCCTGGAGCTTCTAGTCCTGATTTGGGGAGAGGGGCGGGGGAGGAGGGTGGCGACTGGGGACAGATAAGGGAGCAAGATGCACCGCAGGTGGCCAGGGCTCCAGAGAGAGCCACAGTGGGCCGGGTGGGAAGCAGGGGGTCCCCTTTTTCTTGGAGGAAGAAGGTCAGCAGCAGAGAGGGAAGCAGGGGGAGGAAGAGCAGAGGAGAGGGAGGCAGAGGTCAACCAGGCTGGACACAGGGCAGGCCACCAGGCCCCGGGCAGTGGAGAGGGGGTGAGTCTGCAGTGGGGCTGCCAGCTCGGCTTGGGGTGTGCGTCGGCGGGCCTTCCCTGTGAGCCTCTCACAGCCTTGCCCCCACCGTAGTCACCTGCACGACTGGTCCTGGGGGGCCTTGCGGCGTTGTGTGGATTGTAACAGTCGGAGCAGAGACATCAATTCTGTTTGCTCAGGTTAAGGAAATGTGACATTTGACATGTGATTTCTGAATGGGCTTTGATGGTTTTGTCTTTCATGCCAAAAAATAAAACCACTCCCCCCCCTCCCATTTGATGGACAGAGACTCCTAAAACAGCTTCCTGTCCCCTTTTCAGGTCCCAGATGGTTTTTCTGGATTAGGGTCCTTTGACCTTCTGTCCGTGCTGGGAGTTTGTGGAATAGAGAGTGCTTGCCGGAGGGGACCTAAGGAGCCCTCCAGGGTCTCGCTGCCCTTTCTTAGAAACTGTGATCTTTCCCGAGCCATGAGGAAACTGACACCAGCAGAGGCCCTCCAGGCTGCAGAGGGGACTGAGGGAGTCTCAGCTCTGAGCGCCGAGGGCCGTGGTGTGCTGTGGGGACACCCCCACGCTCTGCTGTGCCCTGGCTGCCCGATGGTCAACTCTTGGGAGACTTCTTCATTCCCCCTGACTTGCAGATGCTCTGGGGGCTTCAAGAAGAGCCAGAAAATGGGTCTTGCCTATAGGTTGAGGACATGCTGCTCTCTCCTGTCCCTCCTAGCTGCCCTCCATGTCTCCCTGCCCCGTGAACCTGAAGCAGCAGTGATTTCTGGGAGGTCTTCGCGTGCTGTAACCGCCTGCTTCGTTGCCCTGCCGTCTCTCCCTCCCAGTGTTCTCAGGCATGCCCTTGGCCATGTCCCCGCACTCATTCTTCAGAAACTCGAGCCGGTGGCTTTTTTCCTACAAGGCTTAAAAAGCCACCTTTCTGTCTAATACGTGGATGTTTGAGGGAGGCCCCTTGCAGATGCTGTGGAACAGCCTGATCACACATGCATGTACTCACACATGCTCACAGCACACACACAGCCGCCAGCCAGGTGTTACTGCAGTGTGGAGTGCAGGCCGGGTCATGGTGGTCTGCCTGCATGGCACTCAGTTCCTCCCTCGTGCCCATGACGGTGCTGACGGTGTCTGCTCTTTCTTTCCAGGTGCTGCAGGGGGCCCAGCTAATAGCTGTGGCCTCTTCGGATCCTACTGCTACAGGGGTGGATGGGTCACCTCTCCAGGGCAGCGACATCCAGGTCCAGTACGTCCAGCTGGCCCCAGTGACTGACCACACCACGGCAGCTCAGGTGGGTCCTGCCTCTCTGTGTGGACAGGTCTTCTGCAGGTGTGAACACAGCTTGGGTTTTTCTTCTTCTGACGTTCTTCTGGGAGGAAGGTGATTACCGTTGAAAGATGCATTCTTTGAATGCAGGCACTCACTTGGAATGGTACATTTTTATAAGTGCCTGAAAACGTGTGGGTGAGAAGTTAGATCCTGGCCCAGGTGCCCGTCTTAAACTGATTCTCGAGCTATTGTGTCTTGTGCAAATGTTTGTCTATAAATTCAGAGGCAAAAATTAAATTCTGCTTAATTCTCCTTCACAAATGAGGGGTCCCCATTGACCTGAGACTTTGCTGCCCCTCTGTGTGGGCACCCGGCCCAGGGTCAGCACTCCTGCAGGCCCGGCCCTCAGCCGCCACCAGTTTCCCAGGGCCAGGTGGACAGGGCACCTGCCTCTGGCCCCTGCTGCTTTGAGGTGGAAATGCAGGGTGGCCCAGCTAGCTGTGGTGCCTGGGGGCACCATTTGGCCGGGTTTCCGGCTTCCCACACCATACTTCCAGCATCGCAGTCTGATGGCCTTGTCGGGAACGCCACATCTGTGAGGCCCACCTGTGTTTGTTACGTGCTCGTTCAGCATGTCTGATTGAATGCCGATGCTGCCCACGGAGCCTCTCGTCTGGTTCTGCTGGATCTCCCCTGAGCGGCCCCTTCTCCCTGCCTCCTGGGAGCACTAGAGACTCCAGCGTTCACCCTCTGCTCGGGCACTTCCTGAGATGGCAGATGAGAGGCTCGCTTCTGTAGATATTTGAGGTGTTCGTGGAGCTGGCCCATGGTGAATGTGCTTGGTGGAGTGAGCACCGCGGCCTCTCTAGAGTCCGCCTGGGTGTGAGGGACCCAGGCCTGCCCCTGCACCCCTCATACTAGCAGAGGGAGCTGGCAGGAGCCCCTTCAGGGGACAGTGAGTGTGTTCCCTATGGTCAGTCGTCTGTGTTCAGAACAACCAGTCCTAAAGTCAGTGTGTGTCCCTGCTTTAGGAGAGCAGCCACAGGATTGGTCCTGGAGGGCAGATCGCTGGAGCACAGCACGGGCTGCTGGTGCTGGGTGCCTGCATTCGCACACTGCTCAGGCCGTGGGTCAGCTCGCTCACTTTACTGCTGAGATCCAGACCAGCGCCATTGTGAGGCAGGGGAAGGCCATGCATCTGAGCAGGCTTGGCCCAGGACGGCCTCAGAGCCCCCTGCCCACAGGACCCTGTCGGGCTCTGTTCCAGCCTGCCAGGTGTCGGCTCCTGCCCCACCCCCCGCACGGGCCTTCGTCCTCTCTGGGCCTGCTCCTCTCCTTTCCGTGGCCCAGCACGGATGAGCCCGTGTCTCCATGCCGCCAGCCTTTGACCTTGAGAATTACAGCCCCGCGTTCCCAGGTGGTTCTTCCCTCCCATACTCTGCTCTGCACTGTGCAAGGCGCTGGGTGCTCCCACTGCCCCTGGAGAAGAGGAGATTCTCGTTGGGTTCGCTTGCAGCCGTGTGAGCTGGTTGCTGAGGAGCAGGGCCTGGTGGAGCCCAGGAGGTCGCCCAAGGTGACCAGGTGTCCAGCTGGGTGAACTCAGCAGTCTTGAGGACTTAAATTCTTACTCTCCTGATTCACTCTGGCCCAGTTGGCCCAGAGTTTGGGAAGGTGTGTCCCCACCCCTTAGCCCTCCCCAGCCGCTCCCACGCCCAGGCACATCCACCCTGAGTGGTGTTGGGCTTTCACACAGCAGTGACCACAGAGGCCTCTGCACCCTGGAGACCGACTGGGAAGGATGAGGCTTGGCCTGCAGCCCGGGAGGGGTGTGTGCGTGTGGGAAGATGAATTCACCCCGACCAGCTTTTGTTGTGGTTTGAAAATGAACTTGTCCTGGAAGAAAGCTCGTGCGGGCCACCTCGGCCCACGCTGGGTGATGGTGCCTGGCACCCCCGCTCTTGTGAAAGGGTCGTGTGTAAGGCTGTTCACTCCCTGCTGCTGGGCGGGCTCAGAAAGGCCGCACAGTACACTTTCTTCAGGTCTGGGGGCTGCGTGGTGGGTCATCTTCCTGGCTTATATGTTTGTGGTCCTATTAGCCCCTTGCCACCTGGTCAGGTCTCGAGTTCCATTCAGTTAGGACAGATAGCGACAGCAGAGAATGAGACGCTTGCTGACTGCCCAGCCCAGAGCCTCCCTCCTCCCGCTCCGCCTGCAGCCACCAGCACTGTCCATCCACCTTCCTCGTCCAGAAACTGTGGGGAAGCCCCACCCGTCTGTCAGTTGGTCCCTTTTCTGTTGCTCTTGCCCAGCCACTCTGGGCTCTGTAGACTGTGCAGACGATGCCTGTGCGGGTCCTTTCCCTGAACCGAAGGGAAGCTCTGTCGAGTGCCGTTGGATGTTTGCTTTGCCTCCCAGAAGTGCAGCCCCCTGCGGCGGAGTTGTAGCGCCAGCCCCACGCCCAGGCGCTGCCGCCTTCCGGGCTCGTGGCTTTCTTGTCTCTTTCTTCTCAGTCTCCATGCCAGGCCCCTCCAGGGAGCCCACCGCTGAGGGCCTGGTCTTTGTGACATCGCCTTTGACAGGCAACTTAGGGGACCTAAAGATCCCCAAATCTCCACCTGGGGGCCAGGTCCGTGCATGGCTGAGATGGATGATTGGTGACTTATTTTAAGATTGTATTTTTCCCTTTGACATATCTTAAAGCTGTGAACATGTACTTGAAATCCTGTTAATATTTGTAACTCATTGTTTAGAACTCATGTCCTTAAGGGGAGAAAGGTGGCTGTCCCTAAAATGCTTTTATGGAACATTGGAACAGTTGCCATAAGAAAAGGCAGAATGGTAACTGAAATTCTAGGCACATATATCAGGTGCAGGATGTGTTAACCGCTTTGAGAGTGTCCCCAGCGAGAAGCAGGGGTGGGAATAGGAAATCAGCACCACAGGCTTTAGGAGCCCTGCAGCTTGTGTGGGAGGGTCAGTTGGGACCTGGGCAAGCAGGAGGCCCCGCAAGGAGGGCCCGCAGCCTGGACTCATAGCTACTGCGCAGCGGCTCTGGTTCTGGGAGCCATCGCTCAAAGCCAGGTGAACTTAGGACCCAGCTCCTTCCAGCTCTCCTGTGTGTGTTTGCTCTGTGCATGGATTGGTGTTTTGTGACCAGTGAGTGTCCTGGACTCGAGTTGGTGGGTACTTTTATAGAAAAGCCCTCCTCTCTCCCCTCTTGCAGACGGCCGAGACCCTGCAGCCCACCCTGCAGCCCGAAATGCAGCTCGAGCACGGAGCCATCCAGATCCAGTGATGCAGGGTGGGCCACCCAACCACGGCAGGACCCAAGGTGGGGCACCGGCTCCAGCCAGCCACCCACTTCTGCAGGCGCCCTGGCCCCACGGCTTCGCACGGTGACTGCACGTGCTCTGTGGAAGTGCACCGGAGCCTCGTCCACAGGGGAGGGTGCGGAGCACTGGACAGATGGCCAGCCGCGCCCCTGCCAGAAGACCCCTCGTTTGAGCCGCACTGTTGGTGTCTCGAGAAAGCGTGGGGAAGCAGTGTGGACTGCGTTAAGTACACGCAGGAAATCAAGAACTACCATATTTTTCTCTGTTTAAACAGCTTTTTTTAATTTGCTATGGTGTTTATAACAAAAAAGAAAATTGAAAAAAAAAAGGAGTAGCAGAAGCCTTTTGCTGTGTGCTCTGTTCAGTGAAATGAAAATAGGTATTTGCAAAGACAACTAATAATTTTGATGGAAATATTGCTTACCTACTTTTCTAGGGGGAAATGCTCTCAACACTGTAATTAAGCATTTCTAATGAAATAAAATGTATTTATGACCACAGCAGCTCCAATGTTACTTCCTGTGAAGAGATGGTTTGCTGAAGCCAGCCTCCCTCCCGCGGGGTGCCCGAGGATCACCCCATCAGCCCTTCAGCTGTGCTGACTGTAGTTGGGGGGTTCTTGCAAAGGAAGGGGCGTGGCTGTTTCTGTCAGTCCCCTGTAACGGGCCTGGAGTGTCACTCTCCCCAGACACACAGCACTGCCTGGTGGAGCGTCCCCTCTTGGACACAGGCACCCCGAGACAGTGGGAGCCTGCTTCAGTGTCGGAGGTGTTCCCACCAGTAACCCGTAGCTCCAGACGGTTACAGCTCCAGGGCTCCTTAGAGAAAGTCGTGTCCAGAGGAGCCTGCCTCATCTTCTAAACTTAAAAAACAGTTCCAAACATAAGCGCAGAAGTGGTTTCACATGGCCAGTGTGTGAGGCCTGTTTTGACTATTACATTAATGGGGTTTTTGAAATTCACAACAAAATTATATTCACAGACTTAGACTATGCCTGCTCAATGCTTTTCCTGGGAAGCATTAAAAGTTGCCATTTCAAACAGTCCTGCCTCTTCCCCTCCACCCCATGGGGTTCCTAGGCTGGGCAGTTTACACCACGGCATGCTGAGGGGTGAAGGTGGGGGTAGGGAGCAGCTCACGACAGTGGGACGGCGTGTCTACAGCCCGTGCCTCCATTCATTCTCCAAGGATGGGCATCATGAGATGAGGCCTCCGGACCTCCCTGGACAGTAACCTGAGAGAGGTTGGTCTCCAGGAGATGGATATGGGAAGAAAGACCAGTCACGGTACAAGAAGCAGGCGTCTCATTAACACTCATCTGGAATCGCAGATAGAAGGAGTGGAGAGAACCGAAGAAAGATAACATTTAGAGGATTCGGGAAGCAGAATAGATCCCAAGTAGAAATAAAATAAATCTATGTCCGGATACACACAGAACATTAAAGACAAAAATAATTCAGAAAGCAGCCAGAGAAGAAAGCCAGACCACCCATAGCGGAATGAAGGAATCACGGCAGACTTCTCAACAACCTCTGGACGTCAGAAGCAGAGGGTAATACCAATGAGGCGTTGAGAGAGAACAATTCTCTACACAGAATTGGGTCAAGGATGCTGGAGCCATCATCATGTGACCCCATAGTTCCATTCCTGGATGTACATGCAAGAGAATTGAAACATAGGTCCACATGTAAACTTGTATGTGAATGTTCATAGCGGCACTATTCACAATGGCCAAAAAATGGAGAGAACCAGGTGTCCATCAAAAGAGGAATGGATAAATAAAATGTGGTCCATTTGTGGAATGTCATTCGGCCATAAGCAGAAATAAATCTCCGATACCTGGTATAACACGGATGAACCTTGAAAACAACATTCTGAGTGAAAGAAGCCGGATATGACAGGCCTATGAAATGTTCAGAAGAGGCAAATCTGTAGAGACAGAACGCAGATCAGTGGTTGCCAAGGGCTTGGAGGATGGAGAAATGGGGAGATGGGGTTTCTTTTTGAAAATGTTTTAGAATGAGTGTTAATGTTGGCACAACTCTGTAAATTCACTAAAAGTCAACAAGAAGGAGGGTGTAACCTACAGATGAGTCCCTCAAAAAGGGAAGTGGTAAGGAATTTTCAAGAGGAAGAGTACAGATTCCAGGAGGAGGTTCTGAGCAGGAAGGAGTGAACACCTAGAACAATAAACACACAGATACGTCGGAGTGCTCTGCATAAAACTGTCTCACCATGAAGTCAAAAACCGTAAAATATTGGGAAACATCATTGGGATGGCCCAGAAAGTAGTTAAATTGTTTTAAAGCTTTCTTGTATTGCCCTGGGGAAAAAGGGTCAAGATACTGTACAATTTTAAGATGTGAAATTCAGTATCTGTGACCGACATTTAAGGAACAGTGTATAGGGGTGGGGGCGATGGGGAGGAGGGTGTCAACAGGGGGGAAAAAAGGAGAAACATCTGTAACAACAACAACAAAAAGAAACAGTGTATAAAAAGTCAGTACAGCCCTGGCTGGTTTTGCTCAGCAGTTGGAGCGTCAGTCCACGGACCGGAGAGTCCTGGGTTCAGTTCCTGCTAAGGGCACGTACCTTGGTTGCAGTTTGTCCCTTGGCCCCGGTTGGGGTCATGTGGGTGGCAGCCACTCAGTATGTCTCTCTCACGTTAATGTTTCTCTCTCTCTTCCTCCCTCTCTCCCTCCCACTCTATCGGAATGAATAAATAAATAAAAGCGTGACTCTGATTCAGGAATAAGCAAATAAGTGGGTGGAATAAACAAAACAAAAAAAGGTCAAATAAGAAACCAAAATGGGAAGGTTTTGTTTGTTTTTTTTAAATCCTCACCCAAGGATATGTTTATTGATTTTTTAAAAAATTTTTTAGAGAGAGGGAAGGGAGAGAGAAACATAGATATGAGAAAGAAACTTCGATCAATTGCCCCCTGTATGCGCCCCAACTGGGGAGCAAACTCGCAAACTTTTGGCGCATGGGACGGTGCTCCAACCAACTGAGCCACCCGGCCAAGATGGGAAGGTATTTTTAATGGACGATTAAATACAACAAATTGACATAGTAAAACTTGTGAAATCCTTACGTTACATTGCCAGAGTGGAACTGCTGGGTCGTGTGGTAGTTCTATTTTGAACATCCAGACTGGTTTCCCCTCCGCACACAAGGGTTTTGTTAACTCCATACTTACTATCTCTTGTCTTTTTTATAATAGCCATTCTAGCAGGTGCAAGGTGATAGATACCTCATTGTGCTTTTGACTTGCAGTTCTCCGAGGAATAGTGATGTTGAACATCTGTTCATGTACCTGTTGGCCATGTTTGCCTTCTTTGGAGAAATGTTTATTCAGTTCTGCTTACTTTTTAATTGGATTGTTTGCTCGTTTTGTGTTTTGCTATAGAGTTGTATGAGCTCCTTATTTATTTTGGATATTATTAACCTGCTCTCAGATGGATGGCTTGTAAATAATTTCTCCCATTCTGTAATTGCTTTTTCACTTCATTGATTATTTCCTTTGCTTTGTACAATCCTTTTATTTTGATGTAGTCTCACTAGATTATTTTTGCTTTTGTTGCTCGTGCAGTAGGTGTGATATCCAAAAAATTGTTGCCAGTGTCAAAGTTCTTTCTCCCTTGGTTTTCTCCTAGGAGTTTTATGTTTCAGGTCTTGCATGTAAGTCTTTAATCCGTTTCACGTTCAATTTTGTGAGGTTTTTTTTTTTTACCTTTCCCCTTGTATTTATTTATTTATTTATTTTTAATTTATTTTTTTATTGTTGACAGTATTACAGATGTCCCCATTTTCCCTCTCTTTGCCCACCTCCATCCAGCCCTCACCCCACCCCAGGCCTTCACCGCACTGTTGTCTTTGTCCATGGGCTATGCATGAAAGTTCTTTGGTTAATTTATTTCCGCACCACCCTCCAACACCCTTCCCTCTGACATCTGTCAATCTGTCCCCTGCTTCCATGTCTCTGGACTTATTTTATTTGTCCGATTATTGTGTTCATTAGATTCCACATGTAAGTGAGATCACGTGATATTTCTCTTTCTCTGACTGGCTTATTTCACTTAGCATAATAATCTCTAGGTCCATCTATGCTGTCTTCAAGAGTAAGAGCCCCTTTTTTGTAGCCGCATAGTTACTCCATTGTGTATATGTAGCACAGCTTTTTTATCCATTCATCTACTGGTGGGCACTTGGGCTGTTTCTAGATCTTAGCTATTGTAAATGGCACTGCTATAGACACTGGGGTGCATATAGTCTTTCTGGATGGTGTTTCAGGGTTCTTAGGGTATATTCCCAGAAGTGGATTCACTGGGTCAAACAGTGGTTCCATTTTTAATTTTTTGAGGAAACTCCATACTGTTTCCCACAGTGGCTGCACCAGTCTGCACTCCCACCAGCAGTGCACTAGGGTTCCCTTTTCTTCACATCCTCACCAGCACTTGTTTGTTGATTTGTTGACGGCAGCCATTCTGGGAGGTGTGTAGTGATACCTCATTGTAGTTTCAATTTGCATCTTTCTGATGATTAGTGATGTTGAGCATTTTTTCATATATCTCTTGGCCATTTGCATGACCTCTTTGGAGAAGTGCCTATTCAGGTCCTCTGCTCATTTTTTAATTGGATTGTTTGTCTTCCTTTTGTTGAGTTGTATGAGTTCTTTATATTTTGGAAATTAATCCCTTATCAGATATATCATTGGTGAATATGTTCTTCCATACAGTGGGTTCCCTTTTCATTTTGATGCTGGTTTCTTTTGCTGTACAGAAGCTTTTTAGTTTGATGTAGTCCCATTTGTTTATTTTTTGGTTTGTTTCTCTTGCCCTAGGAGATGTATTGGCGAAAATGCTGTTACATGAGACGTCTGCGATTTTACTTCCTACATTTTCTTCTAGGATTTTTCATGGTTTCATGACTTACATTTAAGTCTTTTATCCATTTTGAGTTTATTCTTGTGTATGGTGTAAATTGGTGGTCTAGTTTCATTTTTTCGCATGTACTTGTCCAATTTTCCCAACACCATTTATTGAAGAGACTGTCTTTACTCCATTGTATGCTCTTACCTCCAAATATTAATTGACCATAATGGCTTGAATCGATTTCTGGGGTCTCTGTTCTGTTCCATTGATCTGTATGCCTGTTCTTGCACCAGTACCAGGCTGTTTTGATTACAATTGCTTTGTGTATAATTTGATATCCGGTATTGTGATCCCTCCAACTTTATTCTTTTTTCTC